CCATGGATTCAACGTTAATCGGAAATCTGTTCACAACCGCAACTTCATTGGCCTTCTTCACGGGTACCAAAGGCGTCGCCCACTCGTTATACTCAACCGGGCCCACTATGCCCTCCTTTACCCAGCAATCTAACTCTCGCTACCTCCTCCATTCAAATGGTACTCTACGAACAGCACAATATTTTGGCACAAATTCATCCTTCATCCCTATTTCCACTTCATAATCTCTCAAAAAACCCAACTCCTAACTAAAAATTTCTTCATACTCCGTTGCCAATCGCTCTAATTCCTTATGCACACATTCCAATTCCCCTTCGATCCTTCCTGTCTCCTTTCCCTCTTCTTGCATCTTCTCGGTAATTCTCTATTTCCCACACCTCAAACTTGTAGTCTCACTCCTTTCTCAGATATCCCCTTTTCCATTTTCCTCAACTTTTGATTTTTTCTCATCGCATCTACACAATCTTTCACTGTAATTCCCTGACTTTCTCCCCAATAAAGAGACTCGCCTTCATTCATCTCGATTTTATCTCTTCCTTCCATCCACTCCATCGTACCTCTCGGCTCTATTTCCTCCCATTCATTCCTCACTGTTTTCATGATCACATCTCTACCTTCGCTAAAACACCCCCCATCTCGCAAATATCCCCCAAAAATCGTAAGCCGGACCAACTCTCTTTATCCAATTCTATTTCAACACTGTTTCTACCCTCCGATGCATTATCGACAAATCCAGCACTTGTAGCTCCCCCGTATACAAATCTTCAATTTTTCCTCAGCTCATGAGCGTTATTTCCAATCCATAAAACTGCCTCACATAAATCTCCTCTTTGCTTATAACTCCCCTCGGCCATAATTTACGATATTGCCGCTCCCGTATTAAACAACACATTGATACTACCTTTCCATTCAGATTAATCCATACTCTCGAAAAGGAATCATACACAATACTCCCTTCTCCTTCTCCTTGCAACATCCGTATTTCCCTTTGCCATTTCCCTACGCTGATGCTTACCTCGTTCCGTTCCCATCTCCCAGCCTGCATTCTCTTTGCCTTGTCATCATACAGTCACTATTTTTCATAATCTCGCCCCCAATGCCCTTGCTTCCGACATTTAAAACATACAATTTAACTCTCTTTAAATATCTCCAGAGTCCCAAATCTACCACATCCAGCACATCTCACTCTGTCTTGCTTACTGGGGCAAAACGTCTAAATGTGACCACTGTGGTCACATTCAAAACATTTAATATCCTAATTCTATCATCTTCGCTCAATTTCAAATCCTCATTACTCGCCCATCCTTGCAATATTTCCTGCACAGGCATCCATGTACCCTTCCATACCTATCCTCCTCCTCGTTGTGTCCTTCAAGCAACAATATTTACCCCCGTATCTTAATACACCTATTTAGGCCTTCTCTTCTACCGAAATATAAACTTCCCAACCAAATAAGCAATATCACTATCGCTCCCAGTACATTACTGTATTTCCACATATTTAGTTAATTTAAATCCCTTCATCTAACTACAAAAAAAATTAATTAAAACAATTAAAATAATTAAAACGATTGTAAAAAAATTTGCTTTATTTTATCTCTAAATTAATTAATCAATACCAAATATTCTAACAAAAATAAAATATAGCTCAAAATATTACCCACAAAAAATTAATAATTAACTTAACTAAAAATATTTTAACTATTTGTGATGTTAAACAATGATAAATTAATAAAATATACCGAAATAAACATCAGTACATAACACATTTTAAACACTCAGAACTCTACCGAATTTCCACAAAAAAATATTCCACAGAACCCCTGTGCCTTTAACAACAACCATGGTACTCCACCGAATTTCCATACAAAAAAAATTTCACAAAACCCCTGTGACAACAATTACCACGGTACTCCATTAAATTTCTACATAAAAAAAATATTCCATAGAACCCCTGTGCCATTAACAAATTTACAATTCAATACCACAGTTTACCCACTGTACCCAACAAATGTTAAGTTATTTTTTTTTACATAAAAAAAATATAAATATAAAAACTTACCTTTTAAGGTCACGGCACCAACTATTGCAGTTATGCTGCTTGGAATAAATAATTTTATTAACTTCAAATAAGAAAAGAAAAATAAAAAGTGAATATAACATATTCTGCCGAAAAACGGCCTTTTTATAGCTTATAATTTGATAAATAAAAAATATTTTTTACAAAAATACAAATAACATGACTTATTCTGAGTCTTATAATCCAAAGTCAAAACAACGCACTAATGTTAAGAACTGAATTATTGCGCGTGATAAAAAAATAAATACAATGAATTTACAACAAAACATAATATGTACCTACATAATAATTAAAAAAAACACCAATTATGACAATTAATATCCCTCTTATCTCTTACATCTTTTATATATTCAATATAATCTTGAAAATTGTTTTGTTTATTAAAATTGTCAAATTTTACTTGGGTTATGGTTATTGATTCAAAGTTGTTATTTACTTTATTACTATTATTCGTTTCACTTAACATATTCATTTCACCACTCTAATTAATTAAAATGTTTGATTCATCACTTTTACCATTTACAGTAGTTGGGTTTTCTTCTTTATTCATAATAAAAGAATTACTCGTTGCCAGTTTACAGAATTAAACTACATATGTCTTTATGTCGAAAATATGTATATGTCAAAATTTTTAATCCCGTATGTGTTCTTTGCAAATGACAGCCAAATGAATGATTTTTTTAAATATTATACAATTGGGCGTTGAGCAGTCTATATTAATATAAGTCTATGGTGAAAACAAACACTATCTTAATTTTGAAAAAATTATTTCATATTAGTTTATAATAAAAAAATTTAGCTCATATTCCTTCAAGAATGATAGGGAATCAAGATTTTCTAGTTAATTTGAAGATGAATGAATCAAAATTTTTTACATTTTTAAATAAGAAATTTCCTAAATCGACCAAAATTTATTAAAATGCAATATGACTTTCTTACTTTTTATTGGCATTTACCAAGATTTATGATTTTCTCTTAATTGTGGATCGTAATTGAGATCATTTTGTTTATTGGTCGATCTTTCAAACCCTTTTAAAATTCATTTTTGTACTTAAAAAATATATAAATAAAATAAAAAAATTTGAAATAAAATTAATATGTTATTTTTTTTCAATTTACTTCATATTTTAGCATCCTTCATTATATTTTATATTTTTCTTATAAATTTTATCCAGACAATATTTACAAATTGGATTTACAACCTATATTTATTTATTTAATTAAAAATAAAAGAAATTATAAATTTGATGGAGGCACACCCCCTACAAAATCTACCCCATTTTCAAAAAAAAATATCGGGGCCTTTGGCCGCTATATTCGCCAAACCACAATGCTATAGTGATACTAATAAAATTGTAAGCTGCCATTTATAATCTCACAATAAAATTTTATTTACATCCTTTTAGACCTATTTAGGCTATAAAACATAATTAAATCTCTAATTCTTGCTAATAATCAATAAGCAATTGAAAAGTTGGTTGGGTCACTCCATTGGGATTGATCAATGAAAGAAATATAATCTGGGAATCTTTAATAACTTTGGATGTTTGCTCATTATTAAATATATAATTAAAATTTGTTTACCCATCAAAAATATTATTTTTAATACCAATATTAAAAGTATATTGCTAGAATTTTAAATGATTTATTATATTCTTACCGAAATTTTTAAAATTTATTTAAAAAATTAACAAATAAGAATATAATTAATATTTAACGTGTTAAATTATAAATATTATTATAAATTAATAAGAAGGCTTAAAATTTAAAAATAAAATTTTTTTTATAGTTTTTTATAATTTGTTAATAGACAGATCAATCGTATTAATTATTTAATTTAAAAAGAAAAAAATTCTAGTCAAAAACTACCCCCAAAAACAATACCTAGGCCCAAAGATTAATGCCTACCCCTTCAAAAAATATCTACCTCCAAAAATTTATACATACGCCCCCCCCTAAAATGCCAATATATTTTGGAGATATTTGTTTCCCCATCCCGCCGATGTAAACACTGGCTTTTCAAATGGTGTCTAAGTATTTTGTCATTTTTTGATATGAATTTTATCATCTCAAGGAAATTTCCATGATTTAAATTTTCAATTTTAAAGTTGATAAGTAATTTATTGTGGCTGATCCTCTGAAGGATTTGTTTACCCATCAACTTTATTATCTCTAATATGTATATGCTTACGTAGATAATATTTTGTTTAATATTTTAAAGATAGTTGTTGAATTCTATTTAAATAACAAATTAAAAAATAATGTATAATAATAAAAATCAATCAAATGACTCTCTTTAAAAGGACATATATTTATTTTTTAAAAAAAATCACAAAAGATATAAATATTTAAATAATAATCCTTAAAAAATATATTAGTATGATATTTTAAATGTTATTAAGCGAAATATGATAACTTTTAATATTTAAAATATAGTTATGTGATAGAGAAAAGTCATAACTTATATGCTAAAAAGAAATAATATATATTTGTTAATTTTTTTCTAATCGACTTCTTTTTTAATTTTTTACTTATCGGTATCAAAAATCGACATTTTCTCGCGGCATCCTGGGCAAAATGCCTACTTGATCTTATGTCCAGTCCCCTGGTATAACATATATAAAATAATAAATTCTGTTAAAAGATAAAAATGGCAGAAAAATTAAAAAGAAATTACAATACACTTGTAAAAATTTAATGAGGCATAATCCTTGAGAATTAAGTTCTCGGTCAAATTCTTGGGTATTTAAACGATGCTTATTTGTCACCAAATATGTTTTTAATGAAATCAAGTGGATAGGTAAAGAAGATATTTGCTATAATAAATATTAATAAGATATAAAAATAAAACTTGGATAAAATAAATTGCTGTTTACCGATTGTTGTAAAGTTTAGCAAAATTTAATTTATGATAAATATAAAGCATAGTGCCATTTAAACATGCGGTTTGCTATAAATTTTGACGAGGCTCTCCAAGACTCACCAAAGTTTAGGTTTTATAAAATATATTAAATATTTTAAGAAATATTATTCGTTAAGGAGGGATCTATATAAAGCTGAATTTTACTCACAAAATTTTGAGCTCATATTAGAAAAAGTGATATTTAAATTCATTTATATTTTTATTTTTAAATAAAATAAATACAATGCTGTGAAATTTAATTTATATTGTTGCTCTACAATTTATATTTAATCAACTTTTTGCATATACTTTTTATATATAAATTATCAATATTTATATGTGTATATTTAAGATATCTTCTTTAATTTTTATAGGAATTTTGAATAAATATAATTATTAATTAAATATTTTATTAATAACAAGAATAATAAATACTTTTTATCTTTGAAGTTTTAGAAATATTTATTATTATCTATTGATAAAAAAAGGAATATATTGATTTGTAAATAATTTTTTTTTACTTTATATATGAAGATAATTATAAATAATTTTTCAAATGAATAAGATAAAATGCAGCACCAATAAGATATATTTCAAGTTTTAATTTTTTTTATAATATTGTATAAAAATGAAGGAAATGTTTATTGCCTGAAATATAAAGTCAATTTTATATGCTATATTTCTTTCCATATATATTTAAACAAATTTTAATATCATGTTCATTTCATAAATATATTTTTTAAGAAATTTTTGTTAGAATATTTACATTTATTGTTGAAAATAAGTCAGACATATTTTCCATATTTTTCAATTATTTCATTTTTGTTTTGGTACATTTTACTAGATTTGCAGTTGTCTTCAAACAAAAACTCTTATTATGAGAGCACAAATAAACAACTATTTATATTTTCTTATTCAATTTAATCATCATATAAGAAATTATAAAAAGATATCAATACCCCTTATGTTACCATTCTTTTGAACAAATTCTCATTTAAAATAAGTTTTAATTTTTTACATTAAAACTTATATTTTAATTTCTATATAATTTTTTTTAAAAATTCTAAATAAATTTATTTGGCTAAAATAATTGCACATATAAAAGTATATGAAATAATCGAAATAAATTTATTAAAATAATATTGTGCATCAATGGTATTGCATAAAAGTATATTTAAAATATTCAAAATACCTGAAAATGATTTATAGCAATAATCAATATTTAATATGAATTTTTTTTTATATTTTGTTGTTTAATGTGTGTCATGGCTAAATGATTTATATATTTTTTTACATGAGAAAGATATCCTCCACAATCTTAAGCTGATATATATAGATTTAAAAGGGGGAAAATAGGCAATAATTATACCAAAATGCTAAATTATTAATGTTTAACTTTGTATTTGAGCAATTTATCAATTCAACTTTGTTATACTTGGTTCTCCTTTTCTCACAAGAGTTTTCAGTTTTCTTTACACCTCTTCAATTGGGTTGATTAGGAGATAAAAATAAAATTTTTTGGCTGAACTCGTAGATACTATTTAATTTAATATCACATTGAGTGATGAAATTGGTGTTGCTAAATGGCTCAATTTGAACCGATTTTTAAAATGGTTCAATATTTTATCTGGAAAAGTATTACGCCGATCTGTAGATTCTGGTCATAGCAAAAAGGTTTGAACATCTATCAGTAAAATCCTAAAGCTTAGCAAATATTTTTCTAAAAATATTGAGTTATAGTGCGCACAAATTGAACGTTGCAACACAGCATTTCAAAACACATATAAAAAACGTAAACGCAGCTATATTTAAATTGATGCGTTAAGTTTTATTTTTTCAATGTGGAGCATTTAAATTTAAATCATTAAAACAAAAAATCACTACAAAACCTTTATTGCCTAGCAGGGAAAATAATTCTACTTCAATGGAATCAAAAATTTTTAGAGACAAACTTAAAAATTTTATAAATTATTAAATTTTTATATTTTATTAAATTTATTAAATTTATTTATGAAAATATTTTATATTAAATTAAGTTACATATTTAATTTTTATATACAATGATATTATTAAATTGAATATTAAGATAAATTTAATTGGTATATCCCTTAATTTCTATCATGTTAATTTGCACACTATTCTAGATGTAGCCCATTGCGCTATTTTAAAACTTGGGGAATGAACCTCAAACTTAAAATAATATTAATTCTATTGTCTTACAACATGATACAATTGAAATTTCCATATGATTTAAGACATATAATTTAATTTTTATAGTGTAATAACTATACCTAAATAAGATTTATCTGTTGCTTCTATAAATAGATTTTCAATATCAACCATAGTAATTAAATGAATATTAAGAAAAATTTAATTGATATATCCCTTAATTTATATGTTAATTTGTACATTAATATAATTTGAATGTTAAGAAAAATTAAATTGATATATCATTTAACTTATATTAAATATGAAAATAGAGACAAATATAAATATATAAAAATTTTATTAAAAGAATATAATGTCAATATAAAAATTAATATAAAATACATAATATATTTTTATGATAAATAAATAATTTATATAATGCTATTAAATATGTCAATGCAGATTCATATGTAGGTTTTGGTAAGGTACCATTTGTCTTCAGATAGTGTAGAAATTTTAAAACCTCAGTTTTAAACACATGGTTGTCTAAATTCTACAAGGCTATCTATAAAAAGTCTAAATAAATTATAGATAAAAATTAGCTTTACTGCATCCCAAATGGGTTTTCTTCCAAAATTTAATAACCTATTAAATTCATTCAGTACTTTAGGTTTTTTTGTTGTTGAGAGTTCCACAAAAATTAACATTTTAAATGAGGAAATTAACTTTTTGAGAATAAAGAAAACAAAATACACTTATATTTTTTATGAATAATATTTTGTGGGATTTATTCAAATATAGATGGTAAATAAAATCAATATAAATTGTGGATCATCAGAATTTGAGGATTGGCACAGCCCTATTCTTTATTTTCCAGGTAGTTATTATCAACTTATCAATAATAAATAACATGAATATTTAATTAAGTAGGTTTTCCTATTTTCTCCTTATTCAGCTGATCCTTGAAGTTTCTCAATCTTTTGAGATAAAGAGGACTGTTATCAAAACCAGGGAATTCCAATGCCAAGCTAATTATAATATTTTTATATATTTATACCTGGAACCAATAACTGATAAATGTTTCATAGCATTGAAACTTTTTTTTATGGTTCAGCATTTCTGCAAACCTTTTGTTAATTTCATCGTTCCATGTCCTAAAAATATTATTATATTATTTAAAAATAATTATTCTTACAATTTATAAGAATTTTATCACTTCAAAATTTAAAAAGTTTTGAAAAACGCAAGCAAGTTTGTCTTTTAAAAAATAATTTAAAATGAAAAAATTTGAACGAATGCATTTAAATGCATTATTTGCATTTTAAAACGCTGCGTTGCAACTTTCAATTTGTGCGCACTATTAGTCATTTTTAAAAATTGGCTCAAACAAGCTGTTACAACCAGAGTTGTTAAAGTATCTAGATACTGTATCTAGATATAAAAATGTAGTATCTGTATCTGTATCAAGATAGATTTTTTAGAAAGGTATCTGTATCTAGATATTTTTTTAGAGGTATCTGTATCTGTTTTTAGATACTTTTTAAGATACATTTTATATACCCCTTTTTTTATTGTAAATAAAAATATTTGACTGTAAAATTTATTTTATTTCATATGAGCTTATGAAATAAATAAATATATATATATTATATATTAATATTTATTAATACTATAATAAAGAATTATATATACATAAAATATTAAAACTTATATATAAAAAATATATATAAATATTCATTAATTTAAATATTATGTCCGAGTTTATCAATAAACCATACAAATTTTAATATTACAATATGGAAATGGTAAATTTTATTTTATAACTAAATTTTTAAGTTTATATATTTATTTAGATCTATATCGATGAAGAAGAGGAAGCAACAAGTTCTATTGCTTTACCATGGCCAAATTGAGCATATTTTAAAATAATATCTCAAAACAAAGAAAACAATTAATTCTCTGATGGTAAAAGGTTTGCCGTGTCTACCTAAAAATACAAAAATATCCGTCAGTATGACTTCAACGTGCAATATCGTGAAGCACATAAGGGTATAGATATTATATATTTAAAATTCTAATTAAAATTTTAAGAGAAAATATCCAACCTTGTTAACAAAAATAAAAAAGGGGAATGAAAATAAAATACTAAAGAAAATATTGGCAAGGCTCATCCTCCAATAATATTTTTGCTAAAAGACCTTTGACTTTAACTCAAGGCACTTTAGATGATTTAATTATTGCTTTTATTATAGATGGCATGCAGCCATTATAAAAGAAAACAATTGATACAAAGATTAGCTGGTGAATTATCAAAATCATCAACTGACTGCAAGCAAATAACCTGCCAAAAAAAACAAATAATTTAATTTCAGATTTTTTTCAGTACCCTACAGCAGATATAATTTCTAATAATGATTTAAATTTTGATAATCAACAAATTTTAAATAACTTTTTCAAAAATAAATGTAGAGATTTTAGCATTTTTAAAGAACTGATATAAAATTGTTATTTATTAAATATAACACTACAATTCCTTCAAGCGCCCCTGTGGAAAGACTATTTAGTGTTGCTAAAAATGTCTTCACAGATAAACGAGGATGCCTAAATGATCAAAATTTTGAAAATATTTTATTACTGAAATCTAATAATTATTAATCATATATTTTCATATATTATATTAAAATTATAATTTTGGTTATATTCTGATAAATGTTATATCGCGTCAATAAATTTTTAGCTCATTTCATGAATTTTCACAATATAATATTAATTTAGGTTTATGCAAACCTATAAGAGCATACAGATACATTTAAAAATTGTATCTGTATCTTGATAACTTTTTAGACGCTGTATCTGTATCTAGATAACTTTTGAGACTATGTATCTGTATCTGTATCTAGATCCATTTAAAAAGTATCTTTTAACAACTCTGGTTACAACACTAGATGAAATGGAACAACATCCATAACTATAGTACAATTTGTTATATTATTTTGTATCAAAATATAATTCGTTCAAATATTCTTGTAATTTAATTGCATTTTACT